CAAGTCAACAGCGAGTGCGATTACACACCTGGGGACATCCACAACTTCTTCGGGAAAACGTTCAGGCAGCATCAAGTTAGGGTCGGGCCGTTTTCCCTGACCTCACGGCTTTCCTCAAAGCGTCCCAACAAATCTGCCGCAACAGCGACATGTTTGGTTTCTCGACTCAGGAATACTATCACCTAAAAGCGTTCATGCGCAAGGTGTAGAAGGAGCTTACTTCTGCCCAGAAGAAACCCAGCCACCGGCAACTACCGTTAACACTGCCACCACCACACAAATACATGATGGCTTCATCTATTAAGGTTGCTAGTCTGAACTGTAATAGCGCTCGCAGTGACAAGAGGTGGGACCAGATCTGCCGCTTTGTCAGGGAACACAAAACAGATGTGACTCTCCTCCAGGAAACTCACCTCAACACCACTCTGGAGGCCCAACGCCAGCCTTTTCTAGGCAGCTGGGCCTTCTACAGCCATGCCGAGGACAACCTCGCCGGCGTGGCGATTGTGCTCAGTTCGCGGTTTGCACCAGAGAATGTCTCCTTCAAAGAAATCGTCAAAGGTCACTTGATTGCTGTCGAATTCGTCCTGAATAAATCCTACCTCAGGTGCTTTAACGTGTACGTGCCGATCAAGGACCCCGAGAGGAAGCTCTTCTCTGTCACGCTGCGGGATGCACTCGCGACAGATGGCGAGGATGACGCTGCTCACCGTCGTGGGGGGAGATTTCAAATGCACCCTCGACCCAGCTCTCGACCGCAACACCGCCGCTAGCCGACCTCGTGCGGAGACTGGATCTGCATGACGTGTGGTGACTACAGCATCCAGCCCAGCGGCAGTACTCTTGGTGCCGCTGCGGCTCTCAAGGCAGGATAAGCCTTGCCAGGCTCGACCAATTGTACGTCAACGCCAGCAGCGTTAACCTGCTCGGGGACAGTAAAATCGTACCCTCCGGTTTTTCCGATCACCACCTGGTCTCTGTGCTGCTGCAAATTCCCAGAGCGGAGCAGCACAGCGCCTACTGGAGACTAAACGTGCTGCTTGATGACATCAACTTCAGAGAAACCTTCAAAGCATTTTGGGCTCAGTGGCTGCCTGCCAAAGGAAGCTTCAGCTCCCACCAGCTATGGTGGGTCAACACAAAGGCGCAGGTCAGGGCTCTCTGTCAGCAGTTCATGAGCCAGCACGCCGCCGCCAAGAACGAGGTGGTGCGCCAACTGCAGAACGAGCTGCTGGCACTAGAGGCAGAGCTGAGCTCATCCCACGACACGCAGCAGGGTGAGACGCTACTGGAGAAGCAGTGGCTTTTCAGGTCCATCACGGACGAGCAGGCACATCGTGCTTTTGTGTGCAAAAAGATGCAGCACCTGTCGCAGATGGACTCTCCCTCTAAGTCTGTCTTCCGCTTAAACAAAGCACCGGCCAACACCACAAGAATTTCCAGTTTGCGAACCCCAGATGGACAAACAGCAACATCTGAGAGCGAGATCACCAAGACCGCTACGGATTTCTACTCACAACTTTTCGCTGCCAAAACTATACACGACGAGCCTGTCCAGGAGCTACTGGACGGGGGCCCTACCTTAGGACTTCCCGAGCGGGATCGTCTGGACAGCCCCGTCACCCTGCAGGAGCTCCACATCGCTGTGAAAGGGCTCGCAGCTGGTAATTGACGGCCTGGCGGTTGAGTTTATGCGGCCTTCTGGGATGAGCTTGGCCCTCCACTTCTACATTTGTTGATGGAGAGCCTGCAGAAGGGTGAACTCCCACAGAGCTGCAGGAGAGCGGTGGTCTCCCTGCTACCCGGGGGACCTGCGCCTCATCGAGAATTGGCGACCCGTGTCCCTCTTGTGCGCTGACTACAAAATCTTCTCCAAGATGCTGGCAAACCGTCTCAAGACAGTGCTGGGTCAGCTGATCCTGCCGGAACAGTCATATTGCATCCTTGGATGGTGCATATACGACAACATCGGTACGGTCAGAGACATAATCTCTCTTGCAGAAGGATACAACATGGACTTAGGCCTCCTCTTCTTTGATGCGGAGAAGGCCATTTGACAGGGTGCGCCACGAGTACTTAGACAAACTCCTAACATCGCTCGGCTTCGGCCAGGCCTTCATATCGCACGTTAGGCTCCTCTACATGTGCACATCCAGCCTCTTGAAGATAAACCAGCGGCTCGGCGCCCCTTTCCCTGTGACGGGGGGTGGGGGGGGGGGGGGTCAGACAGGGTTGCACCCTCTCGGGGCTGCTGTACACCCTGTCCATTGAGCCACTGCTACGCTACCTGAGACAAACTGTCTGGCCTTAAAGTCCGGGGACCTGAAAACGTGGTTGTCAAGCTCTCGGCTTACGCAGACGACATATGCGTCGTGCTCAACGACGTGCATGGCGTCTCCGTGCTCTGCCAGGCAGTTGCAGTGTAAGAGAAAGCCTCCTCTGCCAGGGTAACTGGGCCAAGTGCGAGGCCCTGTGTTTGGGGTCGCGAGGCGGCGGTCGCTCTGTGCTCCTCCCAGGAGAAGTCAGTTGGCGGGACGATGGAGTCAAGTACCTGGGGGTTTACCTGGGGAAACCACACGTCGCTCTGAACTGGACCAAGCTGGCCGATACAATCGAGGCTAAATTACCTTCATGGGCACGCCTCGCTCCGCAGATGACATTTAGGGGCCGAGTGCTCGTTGCTAACACCCTGGCAGTATCCGTGCTGTGGCACAAGACCAAGCCCCTCCAGGCTCCTGCTTGGCTACTCACCAAAGTCAACCGCTCACTCGCGCACTTCGTCTGGCATGGGAAACACTGGCTCAGGCCGGGCGTTCTCTGCCTGCCAGTGGGCGAGGGTGGCCAGGGTCTGGTGGACGTCACCGCCAGGGTCATGAGTTTCAGGCTCATGGCATTCAGCCTCTTGGACGCGTGGCGGAACTTCGAATGGAGCAGAACGCGCGCGCCCTACGACCTCGTACAGTTCCTAAACGAGCCCTTGTTCTGCAACGGCCTCTTCCAGGGGATCAGAGGAGAGAGGACCCTGGCTCTACGTCTCACATCAGCAGGGCAGCGGACAGTCTTCCACCTCGTGCAAGCCCACCAGCCCAAGTGGAAGACCGCAGCTGAGATCGGCAGCACCGCGGGACTCCGCTCCATGCTCGCTGGGGAGAAGCTGCTGCGGGACGTGCTCTGCACCATGAAGGAGCTGCGCCTGAAGCTGGAGGCGCCGGGGGATGGTGGTGCTAGGGAGGATGTGCCCCACCAGTATTTCCGCTGCCAGCGGCTCAAATCAATGTTTGCCTTTTGGGGAACATCTTCAGGAAACAACAGCAGCTTCATATATGGGGTGCCTTACCTGGCTAACAAGCGCCATGACCTCGCCAACTTCGCCTGTGCTTAGGCGAAGATGGCGGTGTACAGAACGAGGAAAAATATGCTGAAAGGTGACACTGACGGCTGCTCTGTGCTTCCAGTGTTCAAGAGCCTGCTTAAGGCGCAGCTCAGGCTGGAGCACGCATACCACACACATGTCGGTGATGTGCACGTCTTCTTCGAACGCTGGGGAGCTGGAAAAGCCCTCTGTACCAGCGTGGACGGCACCCTCGTGTTCACCTTCTGAAGCGCTCGCTCGTCACCGTGGTGTGCGCGATGACCACCACCACCACCACCACCAACACCACGTGACTTTTATGTCATGTTGTGCGCAGTGCATTTAGCGCCACAGCGCGTGGATTTATAGCGTTTATTTGTTTGCTGGTGACTGTGTATTTCATATCGGAATCGCCTCCAGTGATGTTGCTGCTGGTGGCAATAACGTTGTTTAAAAGTCAAAGGCTTACTCTCTCTATCTCAATCTATATTCTCTCTCTTCCTCTCTCCCAACCTCTCCCTTCCTCCCCCTCTCTCCCTCTCCTTTATCCCCTCTCTCAATCTCTCTCCTTTTTTTTATTACTTCTTTTCTTTCTTTTGTATTCTTTTATTTTCTCTCTCTCTCTCTATCCCGCCACCGCCCCCTCTCTATCTCATCCACACCCTCTCTCAATATCTCTCCTCCCTCTCTCCTCATCTATATCTCAATCTGTATTCTAGCTCTCCCCTTCTCTCCCTTTCTTCAACCTCCCTCCCTCCCTTCTCTCCCCTGTCTCTCTCTCCCTCTCTCACATCCACACACACACTCTCTCTCCCTCAATCTATATTCTCCCTCTATCCTCCTGTCTCTCTCCTACTCACCCAGCCACTCACCCACCCACCCACTCACTCACCCTCCCATCCACTCACCTAACCATTTACCTACCACCCAAACACACAAAGACAAAGCTCCCACGTGTAGCCCAAACGCACCATTGGGGCAAGTGCTGTTAGCGAGCAGCAGCGCCCCGCTGGCTGAGTGGGGGGAGTGGTAGGAAGCACCTCGCCAGACCGCCTTTGTCTCTCTGGAGATGTGTGAACAAGAGCTTTACAGCTTATCGGATTCCTCCATATGAACAAAGGTTATCTGGTTATCATCATATTAGCACGCACAAACATATGCAGCAGGTAACTCGTTTTAGTCTGAGTCGACCTAAATACACACACACACACACGCACGAAGACACAGATCTCCCATATAGACTTAACAGACTTTCGGGGCAAGTGCTGTTAGCGAGTAGCACCTATGAAGCCCGGCACTGTGGCACACGAGGGGGTGGGTGGCCAGCACTACGCCCGGCCGCCTTTGTCTCCCCAGTGGCGATGCTTACTGCACACCGCAGCATGTACTCATTTGAGGCTGAGCCGACCTCGGGGGAGGCCCAGGACCAGTTCAGATAATAGCTATCGCTGGTGGTGGTGGGCGTGAGCAGGTATCGAACTAGGGTCACAGTCGGGTTCGCAGCGCAGCGAGCCCAACTGCGACACCACCGCTCCCCACACAAACGCAGACGCACACACGGTCTTCTATCTCCCATCGCGGCAGCTGGACCTGTGATTGGCAGACGAGTCACGTGGTGGTGGGGTAAAGAGTGGGTATCATGGCTTACTCGTCACGCTGACGGTGGTGGTGATGGTGGTGGTTCCCAGGCTGTTGGATGCTTGGCAGGACAGCGAGCCCGAGTGCAGGCTGCCGGCCCGGGAGATCGTGAGTCGGGAAATCCCTCTACAGGGTAAGGACACAGCTCAGTCCACGCAGGCTACTGGGGCAAGTGCTGGCTTGTTCACTCACTCACCCACCCAACCAGCCACTCAATCACCCACCCACTCATACACTCACCCACCCACTTACTCCTTACTCACCCACCCACCCAGCTACTCGCCCCCCCCCCACTCACTCAATCACTTACCCACCCACTCATCTACTCACCCACCACCCACTCACTCACTTACCCACTCACTCACTCAACAACCCACACACCCACACACTCACCCACTCACCCACTCACCCACCACGCACTCACTCAACCACTCAACCACTCACCCACTCACTCACCCACTCACCCACCACCCACTCACTCACCCACACACCCACACATCCACCCACTCACCCACTCACCCACCACCCACTCACCCACTCACTCACCCACTCACTCACTCAACCACTCACCCATTCACTCACCCACTCACCCACCACCCACTCACTCACTTACCCACTCACCCACCACTCATTCACTCACCCACTCACTCACCCACTCACCCACTCACTCACTCACTCACCCACCACCCACTCACCCACTCACTCAACCACTCACTCACTTACCCACTCACCCACCACGCACTCACTCACTCACTCACCCACTCACTCATCCACTCACTCAACCACTCACCCACTCACTCACCAACTCACTCACTCACTCACCCACACACCCACCCACCCACTCACCCACCACCCACTCACCCACTCACTCACTCAACCACTCACCCACTCACTCACCCACTCACCCACCACCCACTCACTCACCCACCACTCGCCCACCCACTCACTTCTTGGTGTTGATCCGCACTCCCTTCCCCTTCTTCAGGCGCACCCCGTTCAGGAGCCACATGTACTCGGGGCTTCCAGATGCCTGGCACTGACACGGAGACACAGGCACAGATACAGTTTCCCCATGTAGCCCATGCAGGCTGTAGGGACAAGTGCATTTATAAACCTGCATTGTATGTACGTATGTATGCATGTTGAACCTTTGTCGCACCTTATGTAGCCACTCGTGCTAATCGGAGGCAGTGTATAGCAGTGGAGTGTATAGTAGTGTAGTGTATAGTGTAGTGTATAGTAGTGTAATGTAGGGTATAGTAGTGTGTTATGTTGAACTTCTTCAAACCGTACGTAGCCCACCGTGATAATCGTAGTTGCGGGGGAATGATAACAAACTGAACACAACAACAACAAACAGATCTACAAATTGAGATTATTTAGATTATTATGCTGCCATACATTTCCACGTGATGATAATATCACGTGTAAATGTGATATTAACTCGAACTTGCTTGAGTTGCTATCATTTGTGATGGCCAGGTGGTCGCTTCTGAAAGAAGAGCTACACAGCTCAGTGGGGGGGGGGGGGGGGGGGGGGTGCGGGGGCTTACACCTGGTGAGATGAAAACATTTTATGGTTTATCTTTTAGTGGTCACAACAACAACACGTGTTCCTGAAGAAGGCGCGTGTGCCCGAAACGTCTGCTCACCTTGAGCACCAAATAAAGATAACAACAAAATTCCCCATGTAGCCTGTTAACAGACTGTTGGGTCAAGTGCTGTTAGTAGCGAGTAGCAGCACCCTTTGAAGGCCGGCATTGTGGCACACACAGAGGGGGTGGGTGGCCAACGCCACGCCCCGGCCACCTTTGTCTCCCCCAGTGGCGATGTTCACGACAAACCACAGCACCAGGGAACTCATTTGAGGCTGAGTCGACCTCGGGGGAGGAGGCTCAGGTCCGGTCAGATCATCGCTGTCACCAGTATTGGTGGCCGTGAGCGGGAATTGAACTCGGGTAATAACAACAACAGCAGCAGCAGCAGAACCACGTGGTCCTGAAAAAGGCCCCTGGTCCCGAAACGTCCGCCCACCTTGAGCACCACCTTCTCGCCCTCCAGCACGGCCACCAGGGGCCGCCACTTCGCTCGCATGGCCGGGGCCGAGGTGGGCGGTCCCGTGGGGGACACCTCGGAGACCACCCCCACCTCCCCCGTCTTCTTCCTCTTCTGTTTCTTGTTGTTCTCGTTGTTGTTATTGTTGTTGCCTCGACCCCCCTTCCCCCCCGGCTTCTTGCGACCGCCTTTGTCTTCCTCTGATGGGGGAGGTGGGTTGGCGGGGGGGGGGGAGGGGGAGGAAGGGAGAAAGGAGTCAGAGGAGAGAGAGATGGGATCACCCACTCATTCACGCACTCATTCACGCACTCATTCACCAACTCACTCACTCATTCATCCACTCACTCATTCACTCACTTACTCATTCAATCACCCACTCAATCACTCATTCACCCACTCACTCACTCACTCACCCAATCACTCACTCATGCACCCACTCAGTCATTCACCCACTCACTCATTTACCCACTCACTCATTCACCAACCTATCCACGTACTTACCCACCCAGTCCCTGAACCACCCAATCATTCACGAACCCATTCATTCACTCACCCGCTCACTCAAGCAAACCACTCACCCACTCACCTACGCATTCATTAATTCACCCACTCACTAAACCACTCACTCATTCACCAACCCATCCACTCACTCACTTACGCAAGCACTCACGTATTCACCCACTTATTCACCCACTCACTCACCCACTAATTCACACACTCATTCGCCCACTCATTCACCCTCCCACTCATCCACTCACTCAATCATTTAACCACTCACTCATTCACCCACTCACTCACCTATTCACTCCTCCACTCACCTGTCCACCCACCTACTCATCCAAGTTCGTAGTACAGCACACAAAGCACTCCACGACCGCTCCCCACTCTATCACCCACTCAACAACAACAGCCGTCATTCACCACTGTCGGTGACATCACCACGGTACTTGTGTCAGGCTAGGTGCACTCCGAGGCCACGTGAAGTGGTCCTAGGGGCCATGGGTTGACTAAATGAGATAAACTAAAAATAAAAAAAGTTGTTAATTTATCAGGTACAGGCCCCACTAACCTGTGTAGCTCAACAAAGTGGATAATCATTTAGAAATGTATATCAACCAAATACTATAAACGCTTGCCATTGATTCTAAACGTGGAGGGACAAACTGGAGGACCCGGAGAAAAAGCCACGTGGCAACAGGGATAGAAAGAGAGACGCAAACTCCAAATATATAGCAGGCGTCAGGGTCGGAATCGAGCTCACGACCATCTGTATACCAGGTGAGGTAATAAATATCTCGCCACCATGGCGCCCCGATAACAACTTGCATAATTGTATCTGCCCGGCACTCCGCTCGTTGTTGTGTCACTCCTCTGCCCTCCACTGTTGCTGGAGGGCTCTTGCCTCCGACTGCCCAGTAGCTTCCTTCACGAGGCTCCTCTACAGAGGCTGATTTTAACACCGCTGGTACCAGTCATCGGCAAGTCCGCTCAGCTCCACATCCTCTTAGACCACATCACTCCATCTCTTCACTAGCCTGTGCCGCGCTCGTTTAGCACCCTCTATTCGGCCAAACCGAAGCTGCTTGGGAATGCGTTGGCTGGGCATGCGGGCTACATGACCCAGCCAACGCAGCCTTGCCTGCCGGGGGAGCTCACTGATGGGAATGTGTCCAGGGCTCAAAAAATCTAGCCTGGTTTCAACCAGGATTGTAGGCGCAGATGTTCCATTAGAAGGGTCCACGTTTCGCAAACATCGAGAAGGGTGGGTATAAGTTTGGCTGAGAAGACATGACGCTTCATGTGGAGCGACAGACCTGGTAGCTTCTATACAGCGCTACGCTGCTGATGAGAATATAATGCCGCTCGACTGATTCAGAGTGAGACCTCACCTGCCAAAACGGAGTTGGTCATAAGCACACTGCCCAGGTACAGAAACTTCTCTGCTCTCTCCACAACTGCGCCATCACTCATGGGGAGTCCACGCAAGCACCACGGGGAGAGTGAACATACAAACCCCAAATATACAGCAGCAGCAGGCAATGTCTGGATCGGGACCGAACCCACGACCTCGTGCATATCAGGCGAGGAATATAACATCCCCTCGCGACTAGCGGCGCCCCAAATGTAAGTTTTTAATGAAGTTAATGTAACTGATGTAAGTTAACGTAACTTGATCATAGTTTACGTTTTAGTTAAGTTAATGTAACTAATGTACGTTATATTCTTCACGTAGAAGGGAAATAATAAAATTATAAAAATATTAAACAATAAAATTGTATTTCCCTTCTACGTGACTTTACCGAAAGAACCAAGAATATGAATCTCTGCAGTCACGAAAGGTTTAAATAAAAATGTAATGTAAGTTAATGAAACTCAACATTTAACTTAAAAACGTACACGCCACCACGACCTGATCCATTTAAAACGTAGCTACAATAAGCCGCCCATTATTAAAGTACTGAGTCAATCAATCGGACGACGTTATATTCACAACGTGCTCAGTAATTAACGAAATAAAAATGTAGATAATTTTACTCGCAAATTTTACGATTGCAATGTAATTCACGTTTAACGTCTACGTGCACCCTGGGGACTAGGGCCTATGCGAGGGGCAGACGTCTGAGGCCTAGGCCTCGAGTTCACGCCGTGAGAAGGGCGACATAAAAAAGCTGCGAGCAAACAACAGACATTATACATGCATAATGTCTGTTGATTACCCTTTGAATAACCAAAATCTGTCAAACCATACGGTTTACCCCATATTATCGTACATGGAAATTGAGCTTTCAGGTCCAAACGGCGTACAGCCGATTCAATATGGGCAAAAACATATATAAGAAAAAATGTGCCTATTTGTTTGTGTTCCTCCCTTGTGATGGGACTTTGTAGATGTATAAGGACATGGCTTGACCAATACGGTCTGAATTGGTCTGTAGGCACTGATAAAGGTATGACAGGTATGATTAACCCAAACGGTATTGGACACCCATTATAATTTATATGAACACATTAACCCCCCTCTGACCTTCGCACCTGATTGTCTCACGAGTGACGACATCACAATTACTCCAGCCCGTGTCTATTTAAGACCGAAACAGGAGGAGGATTTAAATTTCGATTTAAAGCTTTCGTGACTGCAGGGATTCATCTTCTTGGTTCTTTCGGTAAAGTCACGTAGAATGGAAATAAAACTAAAACATAATAAAATAATTCTCACGACGTTTCGGCCACAACGCAACCAGCCGTCCTCAGGTGAAGAACAGGTCTGTCGAGAAGACAGAGTCGAAACGTCGTGAGAATTATTTGATGATTTTTTATTTTTATTATTTTATTATTTCCATTCTACGTGTTCTTTACCGAAAGAACCAAGAAGAGGAGGAGGGTTTCTCCACAACTTCGTGGCTGTTGCCTGATGATGCTGCTGGTTGTAATTACTGGTGAACATCATGGCTACTCCAATTAAAAATGTTGCAGCGGGTTTACTCTCCAACACACAACAACCGGTTTAGTGCTGAACTAGTAACTAATTGGCACGATTTGTTTACGTGATAAACCAGCTGACTAATTGGCTGTGTCGGGCAGTGGCGGGTTTAACGACGCATTCATATTTACGCGATCTAACCCCAAAAAAGCTCATCTATTAGACATATAACGACGGATGCTTGACGTCTTAATTCGCTGTTGTAGACTAAGTTAAACGTAATAAAGAGTTTTGTACATTTTTTTGTACGTTTAGGTTAGATCGCGCAGAATATAAATTATGTGTCGTCGCTAAACCCACCACCATTCAATTCGTTAAGGGGTTTGCGTCACGTAAAACAAAGCGTAGCCAATTATTTTAATAGTCATAATAATAATCATGTTAATTATTCCAGGTATATCGCGGCTTTTCATCAAGAATCTAGTACAGAATACATCAGCAGCAAATACTTGGCATGAAAAATGATCTTCTATATAAATAAAGACCTTGGTCTCAGACATCTCTAGGGTACTACCCGGCCGGGTACGGGTACCTGTTTGCGACCCTGGTGCGGCCGGGTACGGGTACGGGTAAGGAATTAAAACCCGTTTGCGACCTCTGGTGCGGGGCCTGTAGAAAATGTTATGAAGGGGCCCTAAATAAATAAACACAAATATTAAAACACAATTTTTTACTTGCACAGTAAAATAATTGTATTTTTTCATTTGCTATACAGCCAGTTAATAGGACAAATCGCTAACTTTAAACACCCAGTCGTTCATAACAGTTGAAGGCGGTATAGTACTATAGTAATAGAGCAAGTGCAGAATCACTGAACCGGAATTGATAGCTTGAAAGCATTTAGTGCCGGGCCCTTGAAAGTGCGGGGCCCGTAGCATATGTAGCTACTTTTGCTACTGGGATCATCTGGCACTGCCGGCGATGAGCCCAGAACTGTGGAGAAATCCTCCTCCTGTGTCGATTTTAAATAGACGGTGGGGAGAGTTAAAGGTGATTGTCATCACGAGTGGGCCAATCAACGTGCGAAGACCACACAGAGGGCTTGATGTAGTCATAGACGTCACAATGCTTCTACTTCAGCACGAAACTGGTTGTTGTGTGTGTGTGTGTTGGAGAGTTATACCCACATCACAATATTTACAATTCGAGTATAACACGTGGGCTTTTGCGACCAATATCATCCATAATACAGGTTTTTTGGGTTAGATCGCGGAAATATAGAAATGTGTCGTTAAACCCGCCACCACCCGACACAGCCAATTGGTAAGGTTTGTCACGTAAACAGAACGCGCTAATTCATTACTAGTCCAGCACACCGGTGTGTTGTAGAATGCTGTGGTTTGTGCTGTACTAGTAATGAATTGACACGTTCTGTTTACGTGACAAACCTTACTAATTGGCTATGTCGGGTGGTGTCGGGTTTAACGACATTTATATATTTACGCGATCTAACCCCTAAAACCTCCTGTATTATGGACAATTCGAGTAACAGTGACAGTTATGCTGGTGATTACAACAACCAGCCTCCTCTGGCGATGAGCCCAGAGTTGTCAATCATTCCTTCGTCCTGTGTTTTGGTCTTAAATAGACGTTGGGGAGTATTAAGGAGAGTTAAAGGTGATTGTCATCGCTAGTGGGCCTATCAAGCAAGGTTCGAAGACCACAGAGAGAGAGAGGGAAGAGAGGGCTTAATGTAGTCCTATACGTTGCAATGGATCA